AAAAAAAAAAAATTATGTTGCATATTCCAAACTAGGAAAAGTAAACATCAGACACATACAGGTATCCATAAGTTCCATAGGCCTTCTTTCTTTGCTAGCTCCTTTAACCTCTCCTCCTCTGGATGGACTGTCCAACGTGAGGTAGACTCAGCAAGTTTGTAGAATTCCTTTTCGATGGGATATATGTGATCTTCCAGGAACTTTAACAACCTGTTTCTCAATTCCAAAACCCTTTTACCGGGGACAAACTTCCCTCCCCCTTTTGAAAATACTTGATCTTCACTTTCGTGTCCAGATCTTTTCAAGTAGTCTGAGAAACAAAAGCACCTTAGGCAACAGTTTGGTATATCAATAATCTTGCAAGTAATTATTGTTGAAAACTGAGAGAAATTTTTTTTGATCCATGTGCAAAAACATGTAATTCAAGGTCAACAAAATTTTCAGATGGCATAACTACCTGATGGAGGATGCTTGGGAAGCACAGATTCTCGTCTAATAAATTCCCATGCAAAGTCTATAATGAAATTAGCTCTTTCCCCTGCATGCTGGGCACTCTCTCCTCCTGAAGCATTACCCTGCATTGTAATGGTCAATTATCACTTAACTCCATATACAACGTCCCTGTAACTTGATTGCACAACATCCCATGGCAAAAGGGTTTGCACTAAACTGAACACTCAATTTTAAACTATTGCTCCAGAAGATACCATGATCCATCTACTATATATTCCTGCATAAATTGATGCTCCGCGAAATAAAGAAAAGGCAATATAGAACTTCCACTCCGAAGATGGCCATGGCTTTCCCTGCAATGCAACATTTCCAGCATAAGTCTGTCAGTGAACAGAAGTTTTCAAAAACAAAATAAACCACCCACAATAACCATGTACGGGACCATCAGGTGGACAACATTCATGACAATCAGTTATATAAACCGATTTTGAACACCTGAACTTAAACACTACTAAATAACTTATAAGGGCCAAAAGTTCATTATGTAGGTTTATCAACCATGGGAAAATATCAGTATTAACACCATCTATTCTTAATGTCTTTGACAACCACCTATGTATCAACAGTACATGACGACAAAAATGAGCCCACACTACACTGTTCATCCAATGTTAATGTACTGTTGGCTTACAGATGAAGAGCAGTATTCTGCCACATACTGTGCCTGAGACGGAATCCCTTCTGGAACCCCGGTCTGTTCCAAACCTTCACCATGTTCAACCCCAAGGTCCACGTTGTAAGGCTGCAAAGGAATGAAAGTAGTAATCAAAGTGAGAAATCCCAGGATAATACAATTATCTAGACTATCTCCAAGGCAAAGAGTTGAGTTTGAAAATAGGCAAGTACCAAAGAGCTGTACGCAACATCACACATTTGGTTTCCCAGAGTAGACAATTCCCAGTCAAGAATGCCAATGACTCGATCCTGCACATTAAGAGTTTTGCATCAGACATGCACTCAGATTTTTAAGCTGTATATTCTAAACTTCAACGATACTACGATCCATCCAAAGTATAGCATGATAAAAGGAAGAGAGAGAGAAAGAGAGAGACACGTAAGTTTGTATTTTGTTATTGAACATAAATTTTGACGACTGAAATGCATCATCCTCAAAAGATTTTAGAGTCCAGAACAGAAGTAGATTGATCGAAAAGTTCTCTAACACACACAAGCATGGATATTATCTCCATGTAAGCACTCAATATGGACTCTTGGAGTACCAACCTCAATAGGATGAAACACAAGATTATCAATGCGAAAGTCCCCATGAACTAAGCCTGCTGCAGCTCCTGAAGAATCTTCAAGAGGAATGTGCTGCTGTAACCAATCAATCAGCTCAAACATCTTTGGATTCCTCTTGGGCTTGCCCTCACCAGTTGAGGCAATATATTGCTTTGCCCACCTCTCTACCTAAGAATAGCATAGGAGTCATAAGCCCCACCAAGTTATAAGAAAAATAGTTTTGATCAATAGCTTTTCAAGCTCATTTTAGGCTCAGATACACGCATATTAAGTTTTCAACTGGTACCCTTTACCCCTTTCCACATACTGAGTAAATTCGTATATGATTTAGCAACCAATATTTACATGCACCTGCCGTTTACAATAGTTGTCACGGTGCCCATATTTTCCTAGACCAATGGTATCAACATCAGCAGAATGTAGGGATGCTAAAGCTTTTGCAGTTGCTTGGTAAAGTGCCCTCCTCTTCTCAGGTGCTACACCCTAATCAAACAGAGAAAAAAACATAAAACAACCAAGAAGCGAGTTATTTACCACCGGAAAATCGACAGACCATGCTGAAGGAAGAAAAATTTAAATCGATTAAAAAACAAGCAAACCACCACTAAAGCTATAATGCCAATCCAATATGCACATCAATGATAGTTGACAAAGGAAATTGGTACCGGTAGCTTGGGGTCGAGAAAAATGCGTCCTTCCAAAAACTCCATGATGTAAAAGGGTGTTCCAATCACGCTTGGGTCGGTACACAAACAGAACACCTTAGGAACCGGAACCAGTGTATGAGTACCCAATGCCTGAAGAACCTGTGGCCAATAAGAGAAAAAAAAAATCATTTTTTTTTCTTTTTTTGCAGCTAAGCAGAGTATCTTATCTACAATCTTTATTTTTTGATTAAGTTTTGACAAAAAAATGCAAAAAATACTGTCTTTTTGCTGCTCTTTCTAAGCAATCAAATAACATAGCAGATCGAATTGTGAGTAAAAGAAAAACAAAAGAAGAGATGGAGGTATTAACCTGGAACTCCCTCTCGACGGCATGAGCAGACGGGAGCAACTTCCCCGCAGGCTTCTTTCTCAAAACGTAGCGTTTCAGCGAAGCCCCCGAACCCACCTCCAGCTTATACGTCGGATTCGATTGCCCATGCCCAAACTAATCATTCCACACACAACCCAAATATCAAAATCCAAAAACGCACACATACACACATACATGTACTTGTATAGACAGAGAAAGCGAGAACCTTCGAGATTGTGAAATTAGAGGGAGAGGGAGGAAAGCCAGTGACGTTAGCGGAGGCGTAGGAAAGCAAGGCCTTGAGGTCGAAGTCGAGAGCTTTTCGATCCATTTCGATATTTTCGATAGGTTTATCAAACAAAAAAAGAAAGAAAAGAAAAAAGATGAAAACTTTTTCAATTAAATTAAATTGGTTTTGGTGTTCTTGTTCGTGTAGCAGCTTGTGGTGTTTCTGGGCGAGATAAGAGTTGAGCAGCTGAACGATTCTTAAACGCCTGACTCAGTCTCCTCCCTCAGTGTCATTTGCCTCGTTAAAAACAATCAAAATTAAACCGAGGATGAGGGGAACGGAGTGCACGCTCTCGAGTGCGGAATTCAGACCTACTCGCAGGTTTTCCGGGTCATCCTGCACGTGCGTGGCGTGTGTGGGTTTCCC